AACACAACTCTTCCAATGCTTCTACATATATATATGTTCTTTTCCGCCTCGCCCACCGTCCATATTTCGCACCCGTACTGTGCTGCGATCTAGACATACATACACATAGAAGTGAGTCCTACGCTATCCTTTGTTTTATATCTCTACTGCTCCTTCCATCTTGGGTTATTTGTCTTTATTAATTTACAGTGCATTTTATTACTGCCCAAATTTAAATAATGGCCCCTAATGCTAATAAGGTTTCTAAAACCTCCGACAGCCCCCTTCTCTAATTTCTAAACCATCGAAGAAATGTCTAACAAAAAATTCGTGAATGTTAACCGTGTTTACGTATAAAAACATTTCAAAATTTAAATGATGGCGCCCGTTGGGGTAAAGCACTCCAGACGTAAAGTAGTCCCTCATTCGGATGTCCGGGCGGGGATTATCCCTGGGGATGTCACCAAGAAGTGGTGAAATGATATGAAATTTCTAGGAAATAGATGATATTTGACTATTATGCTTCTTAATTTTGTTTTTGTTAAATACGCAGTACAATTTATTTTTGTGCTTATTATTTCTGATCTCAACTTGTATCTACCTATACAATGACAGGGTGACATTTTAACTTGATCGCCTACATTCGCCAGCACTCGTGTATTACGACTCATAAGCGCAAGTGGAAAAAGTATGATAAGAAACAAAGCTTTGATTTGTATCTCTCTGTATCCTAAATGTATACAAATTGGGGCAGATTTGTTTTTTTTTTAATATTTACATATGTTAATGTTATAATTTGCTGCAATTACTGATAGTTCTTCTCTGTAAAATAAATCTATTACTACTTATTACCTTAATAGCTAATACGTGTCGACGTTAAAAAAAGATGAGAAGAAAAACAAGCAATGCACGGAAGTACAGTTTCAGCAGAAAAAAGGTAATTTTTATTTTGTATTGCTGTTTTGAAACATATTTAAGTTTGTACTTCACCAAAATATATAACTTATTTTAAAATTTGCCGATAGTTATACATACAATAAATGCTGTGCTGTAATCATCCAAATCTTCTAATTAGTTTTTTAACTACCCAATACAGTTTTATAAACTTTCTTCATAATTAATTGCGAGAGAAATGATTAGTAGGTTTTAAATGTAGTAATAAACTGCTTTGAAAAGGAACAATTATGTAGACATAATCTTTACTAAATTTTAATATTAAAATATTTAAAAATGGTTTGTTTTAATTTATGATTAATTTTGATTTTGTAGTTTTGTTTACTACTCTCTTAAAGTTTTATATCTAAATATTGGTATTTTCAATTTTTTCTTTTTTTTATTTTGATGTCAGTAAATTTAAATTGTTCAACTTACCAAATAAGTCACGTTTTTGAATAAAAATTTTTTGAAAATTGCCTGCTTTTTCAAATGGACTAAATTCGTACATTGGCATTTACATCTAAAAAGCTTATTTTCAAATACTTATTAAAAGCATACTTCTTTAAATGGTCAAAATACAGTTTGAATCAAAGTAGGAAATCGGAATTCAAAAAGTTTTTTTGCCGCATCTAGCAATACTAGAACTCCGAGAAAAGCTCCATATGCATAAAAGGTTAAATTCTTTTTGATGGCTCAAAGAGACATTATATCAAATTTAAATAATGGATTTACAATATTTTAAACAATTGACTCTAGTATTCTTAGAAATCCAAGGAAAATTTAAAAACTTTTCTACTATTTTTGACGAATTTATTTAACATTCAGTAATTAAAAGAAAGTCGTTTAAACACTAAGCCAATGAAATTTTAATTCATGGTTGCTTCAATGAGATGGCTAAATTGAAACCGTTGAAATAAGGTTATAATGTTATTAAACACTAAAATTCTGCAAGGTAATAAAATCATACTAATAATTAANTTTAGTATAGTAATTAATAAATAATACAAATAAGGACAGACAACATATTCCAATACATTTTTAATTGTGAAATAACATTGTACTTTCGATAGAGGTACAACAAAAAGATAGTTTCATTGTTCGCAATTTCTGTGCAGTTTCAAATTGTTTTTTAGTAATACGTGTTTCTTCAAAGAAATACTTTTTCTCATTTTTTTGTATAAATAATTGAAATATTATACTTTTTTACCAATAAAAAATATGTAAAATATTCCTAGTAATAGGTACTATTCTTGAAATGTCAGTAATAAGTAATGCTTTTATTAGTTTAGATATTAATATTAAGCAAATAGGCAAAGAGCACAGAAAAGGAAATTTGCTACTATTCAGTTTTTGATGGGAACATTTTCTCGAATTTTAATCAGGTAACAAGTGGATATTTTTTATCTTTCTACGTAATATATCGTACAAATACTTCTAATTGTAATTATGCGTATGTACAAGTTCATCCAGTTCAGGAATATCTAAATTTTTTAAGAGGACATAGAGAACATTTTTAATGCACAATCCTTTAAAATATTAGGTCAGTATTTTTCTTAAGCTCAGCGTTTCTTTATTTCAACATAAGCATCGTCTTGTAACATGGTATGACTAACCTTCTATAATATCAAATCACAAAAAGATAAATCGCCTATCTATCTTATCTCCAGTTCGACAACGCCGAGCAAAATGTCCTCTAGCAATGTCAAATTCTCGTTCACGATCTCACGAAAGCCGTAAATACATAGACATGTTAAAGTTTTTATGTTTTTTACTATCTGTATTTGATATTACTCATGTTAGTCGTTCTGAACGAGTCGAAAGGAGAAGTCGTTGTTTAAATATTTTGCAGTAGATCGGTGAAGAAATATTCATTAAATAACCATTTACCATCATACCTTTAACAATTGGTAAGCACTTTTTGTACCTAACTTATTATTAAGTAAGTAGTAAGTAGGGGTAATACAAACTATTGTTGAAGCTGAAGTGTGATTATACTTAAATTAGACTAAAGTCACTTTTAGCTACTTTTCTAGTGACCCACCATTTTATTAACCAATTATTACTTTTAATAAAGTTTATATTATAAATTTATTTATTGGCTGTATCTACCTATAAACATTATTCTATTCTCATAAGTAATCGTAATATATGAGATTAATAAATCAATTTCCAGTTTTCTTATACTGTGTTTCCTTTTTTGCAGGACTTTACCATATCCAGTTATTTGAATAACCACTACAAAAAGGGGATGTCTCATCAAAATTCCTTACCATACGCTGTTACCGTTCAATTTTATCGATGGAGTTGGACATTTCATCTCATTGGTAAGTAGTTTATACTAATAATTACTCTTTTATTTTAACNCGATAGTTATACATACAATAAATGCTGTGCTGTAATCATCCAAATCTTCTAATTAGTTTTTTAACTACCCAATACAGTTTTATAAACTTTCTTCATAATTAATTGCGAGAGAAATGATTAGTAGGTTTTAAATGTAGTAATAAACTGCTTTGAAAAGGAACAATTATGTAGACATAATCTTTACTAAATTTTAATATTAAAATATTTAAAAATGGTTTGTTTTAATTTATGATTAATTTTGATTTTGTAGTTTTGTTTACTACTCTCTTAAAGTTTTATATCTAAATATTGGTATTTTCAATTTTTTCTTTTTTTTATTTTGATGTCAGTAAATTTAAATTGTTCAACTTACCAAATAAGTCACGTTTTTGAATAAAAATTTTTTGAAAATTGCCTGCTTTTTCAAATGGACTAAATTCGTACATTGGCATTTACATCTAAAAAGCTTATTTTCAAATACTTATTAAAAGCATACTTCTTTAAATGGTCAAAATACAGTTTGAATCAAAGTAGGAAATCGGAATTCAAAAAGTTTTTTTGCCGCATCTAGCAATACTAGAACTCCGAGAAAAGCTCCATATGCATAAAAGGTTAAATTCTTTTTGATGGCTCAAAGAGACATTATATCAAATTTAAATAATGGATTTACAATATTTTAAACAATTGACTCTAGTATTCTTAGAAATCCAAGGAAAATTTAAAAACTTTTCTACTATTTTTGACGAATTTATTTAACATTCAGTAATTAAAAGAAAGTCGTTTAAACACTAAGCCAATGAAATTTTAATTCATGGTTGCTTCAATGAGATGGCTAAATTGAAACCGTTGAAATAAGGTTATAATGTTATTAAACACTAAAATTCTGCAAGGTAATAAAATCATACTAATAATTAAGTTATCATTAATTAAAACCTTATATGCCAAGAAGCGACAGTTCGGTTAAGGTGCATTCTTGTTCACAAAAAAATGAATCACAAGAACTCTCTATATCGAAATAGACAATAATTTAGTATAGTAATTAATAAATAATACAAATAAGGACAGACAACATATTCCAATACATTTTTAATTGTGAAATAACATTGTACTTTCGATAGAGGTACAACAAAAAGATAGTTTCATTGTTCGCAATTCCTGTGCAGTTTCAAATTGTTTTTTAGTAATACGTGTTTCTTCAAAGAAATACTTTTTCTCATTTTTTTGTATAAATAATTGAAATATTATACTTTTTTACCAATAAAAAATATGTAAAATATTCCTAGTAATAGGTACTATTCTTGAAATGTCAGTAATAAGTAATGCTTTTATTAGTTTAGATATTAATATTAAGCAAATAGGCAAAGAGCACAGAAAAGGAAATTTGCTACTATTCAGTTTTTGATGGGAACATTTTCTCGAATTTTAATCAGGTAACAAGTGGATATTTTTTATCTTTCTACGTAATATATCGTACAAATACTTCTAATTGTAATTATGCGTATGTACAAGTTCATCCAGTTCAGGAATATCTAAATTTTTTAAGAGGACATAGAGAACATTTTTAATGCACAATCCTTTAAAATATTAGGTCAGTATTTTTCTTAAGCTCAGCGTTTCTTTATTTCAACATAAGCATCGTCTTGTAACATGGTATGACTAACCTTCTATAATATCAAATCACAAAAAGATAAATCGCCTATCTATCTTATCTCCAGTTCGACAACGCCGAGCAAAATGTCCTCTAGCAATGTCAAATTCTCGTTCACGATCTCACGAAAGCCGTAAATACATAGACATGTTAAAGTTTTTATGTTTTTTACTATCTGTATTTGATATTACTCATGTTAGTCGTTCTGAACGAGTCGAAAGGAGAAGTCGTTGTTTAAATATTTTGCAGTAGATCGGTGAAGAAATATTCATTAAATAACCATTTACCATCATACCTTTAACAATTGGTAAGCACTTTTTGTACCTAACTTATTATTAAGTAAGTAGTAAGTAGGGGTAATACAAACTATTGTTGAAGCTGAAGTGTGATTATACTTAAATTAGACTAAAGTCACTTTTAGCTACTTTTCTAGTGACCCACCATTTTATTAACCAATTATTACTTTTAATAAAGTTTATATTATAAATTTATTTATTGGCTGTATCTACCTATAAACATTATTCTATTCTCATAAGTAATCGTAATATATGAGATTAATAAATCAATTTCCAGTTTTCTTATACTGTCTTTCCTTTTTTGCAGGACTTTACCATATCCAGTTATTTGAATAACCACTACAAAAAGGGGATGTCTCATCAAAATTCCTTACCATACGCTGTTACCGTTCAATTTTATCGATGGAGTTGGACATTTCATCTCATTGGTAAGTAGTTTATACTAATAATTACTCTTTTATTTCAACATTAAGGTACTTTCTACATTGGATAACAATAATAAAATTTTTATCTCTTCTGCCATATATTTATTTAATTATACCTCCTAATATGCATCCTTTTTCTTTTTTCACACTCTCACTTATCAAATCATCACAGTCATCCAAATCCTTACTTTCATCACAATTTCTCAATATATACTACATAACCTTTCATCCTTCTTCGTCAAATACTTCGTCTATATTCATTTCCCACTCTAAACCTTGCAATCACATCCATCTCTTCTATTCCTATCAAATATCCTGACATACCATCTCCCTGTTAACGCTCCCATCACCAAGCCTTTATGCATCCTACGTACACCTCGATTTATCAGTGTTTTTCAGATCCTCATCTCTTATCATTTCACTACACCAAACCCTCACCATTTCACTTACACATACAAATATGCCCATCTTGCCTCACTCATTTAGCTGTTTTTGATCTAATCTCCTCTATTCCTTTCTCATACCCATTTTTTGTACGTATTTCTAATATCATCTTCTTCAAATTTTTTTTTCTTATATCTCTATCTTTTATATTTTCTAATTTTTTTTCATACTTCTACTACTCTTGTTTTAGTTTCCTTTACATTTATTTTCCTTCTATTAACATAATGGACTGTTCTTCTATCTAAACTAAACGCCTACTTTTATATACTTTTTGTATATTGTCAACTTGCTTTTTATCCCACCACCCCAAAATTTCAACTTTGTAAAGTACCACACCTATGACTATCGCAGCAATTATTCTTTTCTTTTTTTCCAATCGTCTTTACACAACTTTTGACATATTTCCTGTTTCTTTCTCTATTTGCGCATCTATATGAACAATATCACTATTATTTTCTCATGATATGTATCCCAGAAAATTTGTTGACAATGTCGTCCGGATAAATAATTTTTCTTCCTACAACTATTCCTCCCTGCCTTATCTTACTTATCTTCAATAGTAAGTCACTTAAGTAAATATTAAAGAGTTGAGCACCTAATTTACATCCTTGTCTTACTCCTTTATCAATCCAGAAGTTTTTCAACTAAAACATTACGGTATTTATTACTCTACCCTCATACTAAATTTATTTTATTTACCTTCCCTTTTTCACTTTTCTTTTTCATGAAAATTTCCTTAATATTGTCAGTCCGATTGATCAATTATCTACATTCCTCTTACATTATCTTTTACATCCTTTTCTAAAATATGCCTTAACGTCTGATTTTCCTTTTCACATATTTTGCATTTTCTTTCATTTTCGTTTATCCACCAATACTTGCTCTCATTACATTCATTCCCCATTCTATGTCTTGCTATTACCGTTATATCATTGTCTTCCCCCAAATTTTCTGATAATAAATCCCCTTCACACCTGTCATCAGAATTTTTTTCAACCCTTTCGCGTATTTCGGCTTCTATACACTCTTTAAGTCATTTGCTTTTGTTACTCCCTATATTCATTCTTTCTCTTCGCCATTCATGTAGCTGAACATCATTACCTCTCTTTGACATTTTTCATTCTTCCTCAGGGTTTTATTTTCTCTTTTTATCATACACGTACAGGGTGCCCCTCATCAATTTTTATTAAATTCGTACTAAATCACTAAATAGGCGATTGCAGTACTCTACACCATTTTGAATATCTCCGAAACGAAAGCACACAGGGGTGTGCTATTTTCATACATAGCTTGTGGAAGAAATGACCTACAATTCCATTATTAACGCAAACATGTTCCTTTCAAATTCATTGAAATCTACCACTTCCAAAATAAATTGTTTCGAGCTGGCATAACTAAATTTTTTTAAATGGAAGGCTATGTTTTTTGTCAGCTCATCATGTGCAGGATTTTATTTTCTTTCGTCCAATATAGGGATGTTACTATCTACGACTAATACTTTTTGAGAAAATTAAACTTTTTTATAATACTGAGTTATTATTAGGAAGTTANAGTGGAGTATAAGTTGTCCTGCAATAAATGAGAACGAATAAGTCGATATAGGGGTCAGAAAAAGATAGAACGTCCTAAGAAAGTACTGCTAACGAGTCAAAGAAGTAGACAAATGCCATTTATTGTAGGATTCAAGCGATGGTTGATATGGTCCTTTTCTTTTTGACGAGATCCGCAACGAAATCGAAATCGCAATTTCCACAGAATACTGAATACCTGGAACATTTGTATATATCTATGTAAATTCATTTTTACTTACAACATTATTATCAGGTATTATATATAATGCTTTATTAAAATCTGAAGTCATATTTAAACAAAAAGACAAACCCCCCATATTCCTCCCAGTACACAAAAGAACAAAAAAACAAAAAGAACTCCATATTCCTTTTAAAACTTACACTAATAACAAAAGCAAAAATGCATATAATTTCTATCATCTAAACAAAAACATATTTTTTTTAAGCATCCCGTATTAACTACCATCCCTTGCCCTTTTTCTTTTTTTTTATATTTCTTTTGATATTTTCAGTCCTCTACCATTCACATTTATCAATTCTTTACATTCTTCCCTTACATTGTCTTTTACACCCTCTTCTAATACATGTCTTAACGTCTCGCTCTCTTTTCCACATATTATTTATTATTTATATTTTCTTTCCTGATCTTTCATCCAGTACTTGCATTCATTACATTCGTTTGCCATTTTAAATCTCGCAATTACCGCTATATCTTTGCATCCCTCAAATATTATCCTATATAAGTCCCCTTGCCATTCATCCCACAGAAAGTATTTCAACTCTTTCGCATTTTTGACTTCTGTATACTCCTTACGCCTACCCCTCTTGTTATTTCGTAACTCCTTTTCTTTACCATGTCCCCTATATCTATTCTTTCTCCTTTCCACTCCTCTAGTTGTTCCTGACTTATCATTATCTCTCTTAGGGCTTTTTCTCTTTCCTTATCATATTTTTTTTTCAAACCAATTCTCAATACATTTTTTCTCCATATCTCTCCTCTTATATCTTTTTCCTGCAGTCCTCTTATTTTTTCTTCGTATTTTACTACTCTTCTTCTTCTTTCTTCTACCATCTTACCACATTTAGTTTCCCTTTTTAGAATACAATCCGGTTTACTTTTTTTATGTTTAAAATCCATTTTATAGATTTCTTTCCTATATTTTTTAAAGTTTAGTTGTACTCTTTCCAACCCCATATTTCTACCCCATACATTAAAACACTTCTGATTAGTAAATTGAATGTCATTCTTCTGTACGAGTCATCTTTTCAGTTTTTGTCCAATTCTCCAAATTCTTCCTAATATTGTATTTGTTTTTGCTGTTTGATTTCTTATGTGTATCTCAGTTTTTAACTCACTCAATAATTTTTCCTTTCCACCTTATCTCCTTTTTTCCTTTCCCTTCCTTTTCTTTCTTTTACTTCCCCAAATTCCATTATTTTTGTTTTTTCAATATTAACTTCTAAATGTTTCTTTTATAGGTATTTTTCTAACACTCTCTGGCACTTGCCATATCCTATAAAGTTTCAATTCTTGTTGACAATAGTGCCTACTGTGTATCTTCACATATACTTGCAACTTAAAACCGCCAACTTTACTCTAAATGTCATAAAACGTAAGAAATTACCGGGAGACATCAATGATCGATCAGACGACGAACCCGATAGTTTAAAGACTGTATAGATTTAGTAACATTAATAGCTAACGTAAATGTAATATGCGTATGAGTACTGTTTGTTTGACACGTTCAGCATCAGTATTAAAAGTACATTATGGCATTAATTCAACTTCAATTCCCTAACTCTAACTCTGCGAGAAAATGTGACGGATCCTCTTTCAATCATCTTTCTCATTGTTTCTTCTAAATCACTATAAATATGTTTAAAACATTTGCACTTAATTTACAGTCCTATCTCATCTCTCTTCCTATCCAGAACTTTTCCGTCTCTATTATTGTTTATCTTTAGTGCCCTTGCTGTTCCTTTATATATTTCCATAATTTTTTCCATCATCCCTTAGTACTCACTTTCTATTTACTTAGTCGTATTATTTTTAAATCTACAAACATTGCATCTCCTTCTCCTATCCGGATATGATTGTATTGAGTACTTTAATATATAAATAGAATCTACTGTTCTGTTCCCCCCCTAAATCCTATCAGCGTGTCATTTAATACTTTATTTTCTACCATCAGCCCTCCCAATTTTTTTCTTATAATTTTCGTATATATTTTAAATTTCCTCTCCATTAAAGAATTCCGTGTAATCCCTCATAAAAATAGGTGCCATCACTCTTCATTTCAATTCCTTTGATATTTCACATTCTCCCTATATTTTTCTTAATATTTCATATTTTTTTCTACTATATCTGTTGTGTATATCCTGTGATTGCATCCTCTCCTACCGCCTTCTTTTTTGTCAACGCTTTTGTTCGCACTGTAATGTCTTTCATTTCTGCCTCTTCTTTTTCATTTTTTTTCCCCTCAAATTGCATCTCTACTCTTTCCTCACTTTCTCCTCATCTTCATAACGTCGTTAGTCCTACGACTGGACACGTACCTCCACTCCTTCCTATTCTGAGCTAATCTTCGCATTTCTCTAAAACTAGAACATTCCACATATTTAACTATTTGCGAACAGTAATCTAATCTAGGTCTATCTCTGCTCCTTTTAACTCCTGTCTCTGCCTCTAATATGTCTCTGACTAGACCTTCATACCTGAGAAGGTATCCTACCAACCTATCTCGGCTATTTTTTATTGACCCATAACTCTGACTCTGCTCTTCTATTCATTTCTAACCTTCACTGCCCACAGTATCCTCATCATCTTTTTTCCGCCGCGCCCACCGTCAATGTTTCGCACCTTCTCGCACCACCAAACATACACCTTTAACAATCTTTTTCGAATTTCTAAATTAATCGTTAGCTTCCTCCCACAACATTTTTAAAATAGTCGTAGGACTATTTTCATTTTGTAGTACCTTACAAAAATTTTAATATCTCGGCAATCATACTCGATAAAAATATGCGACTGTCGCTGTTGAAAAAAGCATAAAACGCACTTGGCTTTCCATCTAAAAATTTCTTTCAGAGCACATTAAATCGTTACAGTAGTAATGTTCAAATTTGGGAAGCTATGTTCATTTTGACATCGTCGGATGCAAAATGAAATTCTCTTTCGATTTTATTAAGGCATATTATAGTAGGTTTGCTGAACGGTTTTAAAAATAATTGCGATTTGTTAATTATTCTGTAATGTGCAGAGAAAACAGATAGAATTATTATTGATAAAATTTCTTAAACCCAGCACAACACAAACAATGTCATAAAAGATTTCCGTGACTTCACGGCAAGTAATTTTATCAATAATTCGAATAAACATAACAGAATGTGCTTTCTGCTATAGACCCATGCCGCCTAGGATCTATCCTTTTTCTCTGCACATTACAGAATAATTAATCGCAATTATTTATGTCCTCTTCTACTATTTGTTTTTTTTTTCTTCATTTAAATCAGACCATTCATCATTATTATACCACTATACAATTCTTTAACCTCTATATTCATATTATTTTTAATTTTCACTAGTGTCTGCCTTTTAGCCCTTCTGTGTTTCTTCTTTGTTGCCAATTTACCTATATGTATCATCTGTATACCTCTCAGCATAACTACTACATTTTCTGCCTAAGTTTCACAAAAGCAAACATATTATTTCAAATTATAAAATCAAATTTAATGTAGGAATTATTTTATTACTAGTAGTTATTTGCCCGTTTTGCTGAGCATAACTCTTTTCGCCAATTTTAAAATGCCGGAATATCTGTTTGATTAATTGAAATAGAATAAAAAAGCATTAAAACTATATTTCAAGTAAACCTAATCACAAATAAAATGTTCCATGGAAACCGGAAAACAATATCCATCCAATATTTTCTATTATCTATTTCCAAGGAGTTTAGAATTTTTTGGGCTGTCTCCAGTTAAAGACTTAGAAGGCATTCATGGAATGTATCTTTGTTCTCTTTTTAAGGTTCTGATACCTTCAATGGCCGATGTGAGCTTTTTAATTCATTCATCATTTTATATAATGTTTGATTGGTGATACTAGCAAAACTTTTAACGGCAAAAATGTATTTTGCATTTTACAAATTGAAAATACATTTGGACGTATTTAAATGCAAGATAAAAATCGGTATTTTGTATTTTGTGTGTATTTTAAATGTATGTATTTCAACTAAATCACATCTCTGGTTGTTTCATAATTATGTGTTATGAATAGTACCTACAGTTTACTTCTTATCAAAAACGAAAACTTTGAATTAAAAGATTACGTAAATACTTAAAGATCGAATTATGATTATTAATTACTGCATAAAGTGTCCAAGATGGAAGTGATGTTTTATAAAAAGTTTTCTTCATGAGAGGTAGGCGTTTACAGTCATATTAACACTTATGCTTTTAGTAACTAATAAATTATTTATCATTAATTATAAAGGAATAAAATCAAATGAATGACAAAGGTTTAGTTAAGTAATAGGTATCCATAGTTAATATACGTATCTCATTTTTTATTATGGTTGTCGTGACATAAAAATTAACATATTTAAGTGATTTGTAGTCGTACCATGTGTTAATCTAGGTTTGTGCAAGTCGCAGCTTCTGTTTTTATTTTTTTATTTTTGCCACTCGAAAATTTTTACAATTACAAGATTTAATTATTTATAGCACTTTAATGCTTATTTCTTTTCATTACAGAACAAATCTAGTGCAGAATGGGCCATTTCATACACGTAAAGGTTTAATGTAAGTATTGCTTTTATTTTTTTTTGTATTTGATAACATTTATGTGGCTTCGTTAAAATAATAAAAATTATTCCTAAGTAACTTTCCTGCCTTCCTTAGCACTTCTACTTTGTTCAATTTTGATAATAATTTGCTAAATTTTTCTAGATTTTAGACTTCTACTTGTTTATTAACCCATTATTACCTACACAGAAAACAGACCCCAGAGACTTTTTATTTTTAACGTTAAGTAAAATTCACATAGATGAGAATAGCTGTCAAAAAAGATTCATTTAATTATTGGACAGCTTCTGTGTGAATTTTGATTTTGGGCTATTTGTTCAGCACTGTTTTTCGATGTGTATAAAATATGTTCCTGCAGAAATAATTATTCAATTTAAGGAAAATAATGAGTCAGATTATAGGAACGATTTCACAATTTTCTTAAATTTTATCGAAATAAAATTTTGAAAACCATCTGTTATAATTTGAAATAAAATAATCAAATATAAAATTAAATCAACTGTTACCTGTTTGACATTCATAACTAAGGTAAGAGCATAAAATTCTTTTGGAAAATTCTAGAAAAATGTTAAGCACAGCGTCTGATTAAAGTATTGTCTGAGTATGGAAAACTCCAATTACAGAGTTGACGAAAGGTGTAATAGAGTCGGAATTTCTCATATTTGAATTCGAATATTTATTTGTCAACTATTTGAATATTTGTAATTATTTATGTTATGGTTGTGGACAATTAAAAATTACATAAATCAAATATCTAATTACGGTACCGTAGTTACTGACGCATCTTTACATTACATTAATATTTATTTAAATGCAACCTTACGTTTTAAATTGTTGTTTGAGTATTCAGATATTTGAAATTTTTGAATAATAGAATATTTGGCTGTTTGGGTAAGTGAATATTTAAATTTCAAATAATTATTTTAAAAGGATTTCAGATATATATATAACTATTCGAATGTCTGATACAATTCTGAGCTCTAGTTTGGAGTATTCCACGCATGATATTGTATATTTTTTTGTGGAGTTCTTTATATTACTGATTTGATAGAATTTCAATATTTGCTCTATTCTGTAAAACGAAAATGTACAACTTGTTGTGGCGAAAGCTCTATTTTATTCAAGAAGCGTACAAATAAAATAAATACCATAAAGCCGGCTATTTAAAATATTGTTTATTGTAATTTAAAAGTCACCTGTTCTTTCCATTTATTAAAGGGTGGACGACAAAATTCTTTTACTCACTCATGTGGGGTATTTTTCTATAGAGCTTGTAGAATAGAATAAGTGTATTTTTTTGGAATATAATGAGAGAGCATCAAAATTATCAAGCATGCCAAAAGTATTATTACCATTCTCTGTCACATCAATAGCAATTGTAATTTTGTAAATATTTTATTTTTTATGCGTTTTATAAGTGCGTAATATGCACAGACTGTTGTCTAATTTTTGTGAATTGATTCTGTGTAAACAATACACTATAACAGCTTCATTCAAAATAACTCAAACTTTTTCAGAAATAACGGCATGAAATTCTGCATAATTATAAATATACTAGTGTCTTTTTTGTGAAATTGAGCACACACCATGCTAAAAGCTAGCACAGCGTAATACATTATTAATGAAACCCTTAAAATACTTAAAAGTATCTTACAAACTATGTTAGTATTATTTTAAACAAACTGTAATTAATTGAATTAATAATTTAAAAATAATAACGATATTAGTAGGGATCCGTTTAAAATTAATCACATTTAAAATTTAAACAAAATAAGTAATATCTATTCATTTTACTGTCATGGTATATTCAGTAGTGTTTGTTTGCACATTACACAAAAAGTTAGGTAAAAAATTACTCATCTGGTGATATAATACGTCCTTCAAAACGAAGGAATAATAAACAAATTCTGGACATCATGTACCTTTATTATCCTTTAAAATGTAGATAACAGTAACATTATTATATATTGGTAACTTCGTATTAGACGCCACAACAAAGAAGAACGTAAGAAAGTAAGTACTTTTATTAATCGTTAAACAATGGTTAATAAAAGCATTATTATGAGCTTGTTCATTAAGAATGGGTCAGAGTAGAACAGGAAGGAGATTTTGGCTGAATTTTAGAATTACTGATTTAACCATAGTCTATGAAATTTGTTGATTTCATAATTTTATTAATCATCACTATCAATTGGCCAACAAAATATATATATTCAAGTAAAAGGTAGAAACAAAAGGTAGAAGTAAAAGTTTTTGCTAAAATTCGTACTCATGATCTACACCTTTTGCTTGCAAGGAAATACTTCGGATTAATAAAGTAAAAGCTACAGATTAGCTCCTACCGATTTCGACAAACTATTGAAATTTGCATTGTGCAATCAACGTGTGTGTGTGTTCTGTGACAACTATTTATTTTATTTGTTTAATACCTTTCTGATTTACTTGTGCAGTGTTGAAAGTTAGCAACGTTAAAATAACGCAGAAATATTTTAATTTTCTGCACAGGTGACCGCCAAGAAAATAACGTTTTAAAATCTCTTTATCGTGGTATACGTCTTGGTTTGTATTATTTTCTTGTAAGTAAATGCACTATATCAGCCATAACAAGCACAACACTGGGACCACACAACTATACATTATTTATTTATGCAAGTCCTTTAGATTGATTTCAACACAAAAACAGTCCTGCAAATATATAAATTTTTACGTTACTGTGTGATGCCTAGGCAGCTACTGAAAAGTTGAAAAGAGCGAGAAAAGTTGTTGTGAACCTAGATTTCTTTTTTTAGAAGCAAATCCTTTTGTTTTTTGGGCAGATGCTTCTTTTTATAAATACAAAAAATTATGTAAAATCTTTTACTTTAAAGAAAACCCTCGAAGCAAAACCTTTTCCTTCGCTTTTCTTTATGCATATACCTTGAAAGAATTACTTCAATTTTTAGAAACAGAAGCATAAGCATACCACATAATATCTTATTATAATACACGTACCATCAGGTGGGTTCATATGTGTATCTTAAAATTTATTTCGCATTTTTTTTTTTCGATTTCAATTTACTTCCTATGGCGGTGATATATGTACTAATAATTTCACACTTATATCTTATAAATTTAGATAATATGCTAAATTTTTCCAAATTGTAGATGCTTTTGAATTAAGTTTCACCTTCACCGATATTCTTTATCACTAGTGAGACATTTTATTTTTAACGTTTAATAGGACATTTTACTATACATATAACAAATTTCGCAGCTTTTATTAATTCCACGAATTTTGTTTCAATTTACTTACAATTAAAAAAAGTTTAAATAGTATAAGAAAGAGATGCG